GCATCCTGAAAAACAACAAATATGTAAATTTTATATTAATAATGTTACACAAGTATTCTAAAAATAATATACATGTATTATTAAGACAAGTAGTTGCAATTTTAATACTTTGTTAAGAAGTAATATATATAATATTAAATATTAGAATTTCAATTCAACAAACCTGACAGTCCTTTTCATGTGAAATGTATGGTATACAAACTACAGCTGCAATACTCTCAATTTCAGCCAGGACCAGGATCTAGAATATAAAAATAGATTTATTATCGCCTATAAAATTCACGACAATTTAAGCTTAAAACTTAACATTAAAGAACAGTTTAATCAATATTTGTGTCGATAATGCAATGAATATAATGATTTTTTCAAACTAATTCACGCTTATTTTTACTAATCACTAAAGATATAAATACAGCTAGATTGACGAATCGTCTTGGGACGTTCTTGATATGGGCCGAACAACACACTTCATCTGCTTATAGGTTACAATAATACGATAAATAAATTTCAAAATTAAGGCATGACCTGTAAAATCAAAATTGCCAAGGACATCAATAACTTCGCGTAAGGCCTACCAAACCCAAATCATTCAATTAGGTCGCGTTTAATACAAAAGTATCAAAATATTAGAAGGAGGTTTTGTATTTCTTTTTTTAGTATAATTACAGTTGACATTTTCATATTTTGCATGATATGAAGAGTTTCCAGCTCGGATATTGATTGTTGATAAATGTGGGGTAAACATTTCATTCACAGAATGACCACATCGGCACAGGACCTTATAACTTTTGTGGTAAAACATTTTAATGGTCTCAGCAAAAATCGGAAACGTTACGGGTTTTACTGTTAGTATTAAAATAACATTCAAACATAAGTCCTCTAAATTCTTTACCTAGTTTGTAAAAAAAAGACCCATTCTAATATGCTTTAGGGTTGTTTTTTTTAGCCTCACCAGCTAGAGCCGAAGGCTCAGGGTGAGCTATTAGTATCAAAGGGGGATGCTCGCGGCGTCGATCGTCCGTCATCATGCGTCAACAATCGTCTTCTAAAAAATAGAAAATACTTTTAAACATCTTTTCTTTGTACAGAACTAATCGATGGATGATCACCAAACTTTGTCAGTAGCATTCTTGGGAAGTCTTTTATCAAAGTTTGCTCATATTAATTTGATTGCCCTTTTAGGAACATCTCTAGGGCTAAGTAGAAATAGAAAAAACCTTTCAACATCTTTCTTTTCTACAGAAATAATTGATGGATGATCACCAAACTTTGGGTCGGTAGACATTCTTCGGTTAGTCTTTTATTCAAGTTTGCTCATGTGAATTTTGATTAGCCTTTTTTAGGGGGCCCACTAAAAATTAAAAATAGAATATGTTTTTAAACAGCTTCTCCTGTAGAACTAATGAATGGATGATCACCAAACTTTGTCTGTAGCATTTTTGGGTAATCTTTTATCAAGTTTGCTCACATTAATTTGAATTGGCACCTTTTAGGGGCCTCGATAGCTAAAAATATCTTCTACTTCAGAACCAAAATTGATGGATGATCACCAAACTTTGTCTGTAGCATTCTTGGGTACTCTTTTATATTAATCTGATTAGCCCCTTTTAGGGGCCACTAAAGATAAAATAGAAAATACGTTAAATGTCTATTTGTAGAGAACTAATTGATTGATGATCACCAAACTTTGTCCTGTAGCATTCTTTGGTAGTCTTTTATCAAAAAAAAAAAAAAACAAAAAAAATGTTTGCTCATATTAATTTGATTGGTCCCGTTTAAGCTAAAGCTTAAGTGCCCCATGTCATGGCATTTCTTAAAATCATTGTTTAAACATATTCTATGCTCAAATTTAATATTAGAATATATTGACAATCCAACACTGAAAAGCAGTTGTTTTCTGATGAGCGACTCAGGGCCATCATGTCCCTCTTGTTGTTTGTTTTTGTTTTTTTTTTTTTTTGCTTTAGAATTAAAAAAAACATAATTATGTTTAAATACAGACACTGATTTTAAAAAATAATTGGTTACATAAGAGACTAAGTGATAAAATGATTTGAATGTCTTTAAAATCTTAATATTAACAGTAAAAATGCCATACCTGTGACAGTTCGATTTGCAACAACGTTTACAAAGGTCCTGTGCCGAGTAGCCAGTTTTAAATGGTCATTAAGACCTGTTCTGTGAACGAAATGTTTTTCTAACATTATCCACAAACAATATCCGAGCTGCAACCGTCCATATCTGCAAACTATGAAAAATGACAACTGTAATTGTGCTTAAACTGAAATCGACCTCCTTCTTATATTTGAGACTTTTATTTCAATTTCTGCAATTAATTCATCTATATCTCTATATCGAAACTTCATTTAATATATTTACGTGAGTATGTATTCTGCTACCAATAGGCGCTTAATTCTATCCAGGACCTTTTGGCGGTATTTTAAATATTATTCAAAATTCTATGAACTTTTAAGGCTAAATACATCGATCATGATTTTGTTAAATCAATATCTAGGCTATAGCCTGCATATATATTGCTTGCACATAAAATATTGCGTGGGAGTTATCAACAATAAAAGTTTGCGTGGCCGTTACCCAAAAAATTTTTCCCTCGTGCATTGGAATTGAAAATGACTAGTCAACATTTAACATGCCTAATATTTACATTTTCAAATAAAGAAATTCTATGAACATTTTCTCTTTGCTAACTCGGCGTGGTTTAAAATCAAATTAAAAAAAAAATACAAAGATTGCGTGAAAGTTACCTGAAAAATAATTGTTAACATTGAAAATTCCTGTTGAATTTTTGAGTGTTTGTAAAAGCTATGAATAGCACAGGGGTGGAAAATAAGGTATAGGCGGCAACAATTCTTTATTCCGCGTAGGCTGTAACAGGTCTCGTATGCAAGTAAAAGGGATATAATAAAGAATTACCTGAAAAACACATGTGAAGCGAGGTTTTTAGGCCGCCATATTGTCTGTACGCGTAACCGTAAAAGTCACGTGATTCCCTACCGTGAGTATATGTCGCTCCGCTATATCTCAGGCAGCACACGGACTAGTTCAAGTATCATACAGGGGTGACAACAGGTAGTTTAACATGTATGCTGCGTTATCATGCGATAGATTTATCGTATGAAGTATTATTTAAACTTTCATAATTTCCATTTGTTTAATGCGTTTGTCAACGCCGTATTTTTTTAAAAAAGATATTAAACAAAAAGGTTCCATTAATCATAGAAAGATTGTTCACCCCTTGTCATTGATCGTTGACCTCTATTTTTGATGATTTATCGTCTGCTGAGTTAATCGCTGACAGATTCGCTTCGTTTCATCGGAAATTTACACAGCCTATCATTTTGGAAATATATATATAATTAACTTAAAGAAAAGGATACAAAAATAATATGTGGAATTCGAAGATAAAATTTGTATTATTTGATGATGAGGATTATGCGCCAGGGGTTGATGAAACAAGTGTTGAAGAGAGTGTACAACCCGTAAAAACGTACGAGTCTAGTTCCGTTTTAGCACCACAAGAACTTGAATCTTTCGTGCATAGCGCGGTAACTGCTGACGTAAGTGGTGATGGTAGAGATTACGCAATACCCAGGGCTTTACGAGGAAGAGAATCTACGCTCACCCGTGATACTTCAACATCGTATGTTTCACAATCGACACGTGAAATGTCTAGTTCGGCAGAATTTCCTTTTCAATCCCAGACCCGGTCACAGCAAACCAAGACTGAAGTTAGCAAGCTATCAGACTATCAGGCGCTAGGAGCGAGACCCAAAACTACATTAACAGTTCCATTGACCCCGCTCTCACATGAAGCATGGAGTAAGTAATAAATTAACTTTATTTTCCAGATATAAAGTGATAAAATGTAAAATTAAAGGTAGTTTCAACACGATACAATTAAAAACATTGCAGGAAAAAATTGACAGAACGCGGACATGGGCGGTCAATAGCATGCTGTCAAGCCCCGCTGAAGTACATATTCAAACCGACCGTTCTTTACGAAATAGATATCGCTCTTAAAGTATCTCAATTTTTAGTGTATCCAAAATATTTCGACGTACCAAAGCTAGATTCTGAGATATTTTTGTTGTGGGTTCTACGTCAAAACCAGATACAGACCTTTCTGTGGTGAAATGTGGATTAAGGTGTAAATGTGAAAATGCAGCGAATTAAAATTAAGAACTTGTTCAAAGTAGAGGGGGATCTTTCCCATACACAAAATAGCAAAATATCTCAACGTACAGTACAATTAGTTAATAATTACGTTTAACATTTTATCAAGTTGCATTTTACCTTATACGTATGTTCGTTCTTTATTAATATTTTTATGTAAATAGTATTCGATGATGTCAGCGGTCCTTCAAAAATTATAGTGATTAAACTGCATACAAATTGTTGTTTTTGTACTTTGTGGTGATTATTGCGAAGATAAAAAGGTACACGTATAATTATACAAAAACTTGTGATATTTGGTTATATGGCATTATTAAAGCTGCAATAATTATGGCAGCCTTTTAAAGATAAACATTCAAAGGCCATTGTAAAGAGTTCTATGATAAATACAAATTTACTTGGGGGAGTTCGTGAATTATGTACGATAAGGCATTAATATTGGCAACTATGCCAACATCATTTTACAGCATATTAAAGTGATTAGGAATGAATCCATAAATAAGTAACTACCAAACATCCAAGGTTTTAAATAACTCTGCCATTACAGGAAGTACATGCATCAACTTTTAATTAAAGTTCACTTTTCGTGCAATATTTAGTTAATCTGAAACAAACAACAACGCTACTGATGTCAGAATACACAGAGTTTTATAGTTTTTAGAAACTACATGTACTTGGACATTTATTTATTTCACTTTATCATATGCGAGGTAAATGTTCAGTTGCAACTGACCAATTTTGGAAAACAAAATTTATTATTTACACTTCATGGAACATATGTTAGGTTGTCTTTATATATATACACTTAAAATAAGTTGAAAGTCCAACAGAAAATGATCTACATGACCACCACCCTTCAAACAAAACAATAGACTCAACTAAAATGCAAACGTCTAATTCCAGATATGTCAGGGTTTCAGGCTCGTTGCAAGCCCATGATTTGCAGATACCCCTAAATAGCAGATTTCGTACAGAAAATGTAAAAAAATATAACAAACATCAATAGCAACTACATGTATTGACTTACTATTTCATTTAGCATAACAGTTCGCATTTTTTTTTAATTTAAAATAAAAACAAATATGCCAATAACTATAATGCCATAGATCAATTTTTAGCTCTCTTAAGCACAAAGTGTGTCCGTCATCCGTTGATAGTCGTCAGTCTTTATCAACAAGTTCTTTAAACAACATTTCCTCCTAAACAACTCGATGGATTTTAACCTAAGGTGGTCGAGAAAAAAATGTCAGTCCAATGTGACCTTATAAGTGGCTTTTACATTTTCTAACAATGAATCTCATGTGAGCGATACAGGACCATCATGGCTCTCTTGTTGATTTAGTTGTCTGTCACTTACACTAAAGTTATAAAGTGTTCGAAATGTTTGCCCAAATGATAAGTTGTAAACAACTGTGTCAACATTTAGTTAGTTGAATATGTTTAAACTTTTCAGAAACAGAGCACACTGCAGTACGGAATGTTAGCACACTGACACAACTTTGCCATGGAATGGCTGACTTGTATACGGTCAGTGCAAGAGCAGACGATACATCTAGTTCCAGCTTTTCGCCCTACAGTTTTCATATAAAAACAACAGCAAAAGCGACTGCTACATCATCAACATTTGAAACTTCTAAGCTGTGTTTGACGTCTCGTCAGAATGAGTCATGTTTTGTAGATACCTCGGTTAGAACCTCCGGCAGTTTAAGTAGATTGTCCGTTCTATTTCGGGACACCAGCCAGCATGTGTACACAAACCAGCAACCAAACCTTGCTTCTCAGCCAAGGTATTTTATGGTTGCGGGCGAGTCGGACCTTCAAAAGCTTCAGTACGAGGCTTTAGGAGCAAGACCAAGAACTGCAGTAGTTCCAATAACAAGGCATCAACTATCACAAGGAGATTTAAGTAAGACATTTAAATTCTTACTTTGTATCAGCAAAACTTTAATTATAGATATTTTATCCCTAAAGTCACTGGGCAAATGTGAATGAAACTTGGCAAATAAAAATGTTGTACAGTCAAGTTGTATCATGTTTACCACTTTCACATTGCAAATTTAATAAATGAAACTTGATAAATTGACCTATTTGGTCAATACCTCCGGGATGATCCGGAGATCAGTTTGTGTTATACAGACTTAATGCATAAATAACAAAGCTTATATACTTGTTTAACAATCAGCATTTTAGTATTTCAAGTCTTATAAATATGAAGTAAGTAAGTCTTATATGAAATAACTTTTGTTAAGTTAATAAGTGTTCTTTAATATATTATCTATAACACTTCTTGTCTTATTTCCATATTTCACAGATCCAAACTGCAACTTCTGCAAAAGAAACGGCGAGCCTCCGGGGTATTACAGCTCACACAACTTGGAGGAAGGAGGACGGATTATGTGTCCAGTACTTCGACGATACGTTTGTCCACTATGTGGTGCAACAGAAGAAAGGGCTCACACCATATCATATTGTCCTTTGTGGAGGGGGAACTCACCTACAAGTGTGATAAGAACAAGGCGTCAGGCGTGTGGATGTTTAAAGGGACGATGTAGACACGTGAAAGAAAACAGTGACTAAGAAATGAAGAAATGAAAGAAGAACGAGTGTGTATATACTTTAAAAAAAAAAGAAATATAAGCATAAATTTTGATATTAATGGCTCATATACTCTAACTTTTTAAGATTCATTTGTACATTTTAAGTAGTTAAACTTTTGTGTTTAAGTTATTTTAGTATTTTAATTCCACATTTGGATAAGATTGGCGCAAGTGTATAGCTAGAATGTAAAGTATATTAGTATATAAAATATAATTATGATGCTATTGTTTTGTAGGTGTTGGTTTATATGTGTAGATATTATAATCACTTGTTGTAATACAGTGCAGGATTTAGTTTTAGATATAAACGCTTCTGTAAGTCGCAATGGTATCGAGAAAATTGAACTGATGTACTGTGAACTTGATGAAAATTTTGGAAAACAGCAATACTTCCGCATACAGATTTAAGTGATCTATAACTCTTGTCAAAAGATTTGCTAACAAATTTGCAAATTTTAACGAAATTATGAATAAAATGTTGTCTTTACTTAAAAACTTTATTTCAAATTCAGTAATGAAAAATTAAACCCTGTAATCATTTTTCTTTCAAAGGTGTTCTAACAGTTTTATATGAGATATGACATATCCACATATATCCATAACAATTTTATAACATATAAGAAATTATTATATTTATACAAAAAGTTGTATTCACATTTAAAGATAATGCATATCTATTTAGCTCACCTGAGCACTTTGTGCTGAGAGGTTAGCTTTTGTGGTGGCAGTATGTCCGTCGTCCGTCCTTTGTCGTGATCCACAAAGTCTTTAATAAAACATCATCTCCTTATTCATTTGATAAATTTTGACCAAACTTTACTTTGATGTTCCTCTACCAACGCTATATAAACGGCTCCAGTCTAAGTGGGTCTAACGGTATAAGTGGGTCTAACGTTATTAGTGGGTCTAACGATATAAGTGGGTCAAAGGAGCTGAAAATAGACTTTAAAAATGAGATCTTGAAAATCTGCTACTCAGAAACTACAATACACAGAGCTTAGATATGTAGAATCACAGTATTGTCCTCAACCAAAGATTAAGAATATACAAAAGCAATCATATATATCAAATGTGGCCTTCTGAATTATAACAGCAACAGCAACAACAGAACATGCATATAGAGATACTTTCGCCGGACACTCAACAATTTGTTTAAACATATATATTTATTTTGCATCATTCATTCATACATATTACCATCAAGATGTATTTTGTATTTTTCTTTAATTTACATGAACTATTAAATTAGGTCATATATTTGTAACTTTTGTTCTTGATAATTCATCATTTGAGCAATAAGACGATAAAAGTTTTGTCTTAATCTTGATTATAATTTTAATTTTAATGTAAGATTACTTTATATTTTTATAATATAATGTGAATACAATTTTGTAACTTTTTATGCAAAGTGTAAAGAGCTTTTTTAGCTCACCTGTCACAGATTGACAAGATTAGCCTTTGTGGTTACAATTCGTCTGGCGCCCGTCTGTCGTCCCTAAACTTTTACTTTAAACGACATCTCCCCAATTTCATTCAAACATCACAGACAGGAATGTTTCTTTGGTGGTCACCTTTAAAAATTGTTCAAAGAATTTAATTCCGTGCAGAACTCTGGTTACCATGGCAATCGAAAGAAAATAAATTAACAAATATTCTTTTAAAAAAAAACCCAAAGAGCTAGAGCTTAGATAAAAAGCATGAAAAATACTTCTATTGAATGTCTATCAAGTTTGTTTATAATTTTTACCCTTGGGTAAAAATTAGCCCCGCTTGGGAGTCATTGATTTTCCTTATATGCATGTAGTAAAAACTTTAAAAAAAAAAATCTTCTTTTTTAAATTTAAAGAGCTAGAGCTTAGATATTAAGCATGAAACATCTTCTAGTGGGTGTCTACCAAGTTTGTTCAAATAAAAGTCTTGGAGTCAAAATTGGCCCCGCCCAAGGGGTTTTTGATTTTACTTATATGCATGTCGAAAAATACTTAAATATCTTCTTTAAAAAAAACCAATAAGCTAAAGCTTAGATATTTAGCATGAAACTTCTTCTAATGAGTGTCTACCAAATTTGTTCAAATAAAAGCCCTGGGTATAAAATTGGCTTCACTCCAGATGGTCATCGATTTTTCTTATATGTACACATCTTTTGGAACTGTTGTTGTCCCTTAGCAATAGTAACAAATAATGTTTTATAGTTTACAATATTACTAGTTCCTTGTCATGGAAAGGTTTTATATTTAGGTGAGCGATTTCATGGCCATCATGACCCTCTTGTTTTGTATTGTGTACATTTAACTATGTTGACATTTTTATTGATTTATTAATATGATATGTGTTCATATATATTTAGACGTTTATAATTGTGTTGATTTATTATTTTAATGTTAATGTTCGTATAGATTTAGACATTTGTTTAATTTCATGTTAAAATTTTAATGCGTAGTTAGAAAAGTTCATAGATTTAGATTTACATGAAAGTATATATCTTAATATTATTTTTTACAGATTTTTTAAATAATAAAGCACGTGACGTTATAATTGTGTTCCTTGTGTATATGTAGACTGGAATGTTATGATAGGTAGCTAATATACATCACATTAAAGAAAAACTTCTGTTACATCATTATCATCACATAAAAGCAAAATTTCTGTTACATCATTATCATCGCATTTAAGCTTAACTTCTGTTACATCATTATCATCGCATTAAAGCAAAACTTCTGTTACATCATTATCATCGCATTAAAGCAAAACTTCTGTTACATCATTATCATCGCATTAAAGCTTAACTTCTGTTACATCATTATCATCGCATTAAAGCAAAACTTCTGTTACATCATTATCATCGCATTAAAGCAAAACTTCTGTTACATCATTATCATCGCATTAAAGCAAAACTTCTGTTAAATCAGTATCATCAATTAAAGCAAAACTTCTGTTACATCATTATCATCGCATTAAAGCTAAACTTCTGTTACATCATTATCATCGCATTAAAGCTAAACTTCTGTTACATCATTATCATCACATTAAAGCAAAACTTCTGTTATATGATTATCATCACATTAAAGCAAAACTTCTGTTACATCAGTATCATCGCATTAAAGCTAAACTTCTGTTACATCATTATCATCGCATTAAAGCTAAACTTCTGTTACATCATTATCATCGCATTAAAGCTAAACTTCTGTTACATCATTATCATCGCATTAAAGCTTAACTTCTGTTACACCATTATCATCACATTAAAGCTAAACTTCTGTTACATCATTTTCATCACATTAAAGCAAAACTTCTGTTACATCATTATCATCACATTAAAGCAAAACGTCTGTTACATCAGTATCCTCAATTAAAGCAAAATTTCTGTTACATCAGTATCATCACATTAAAGCAAAACTTCTGTTACATCATTATCATCGCATTAAAGCTAAACTTCTGTTACATCATTATCATCGCATTAAAGCAAAACTTCTGTTACATCAGTATCATCACATTAAAGCTAAACTTCTGTTACATCATTATCATCGCATTAAAGCAAAACTGTTGTTACATCAGTATCATCACATTAAAGCATCACATTTAAGCTAAACTTCTGTTACATCAGTATCATCACATTTAAGCTAAACTTCTGTTACATCAGTATCATCACATTAAAGCATCACATTTAAGCTAAACTTCTGTTACATCAGTATCATCACATTAAAGCAAAACTTCTGTTACATCAGTATCATCACATTTAAGCAAAACTTCTGTTACATCATTATCATCACATAAAGGCAAAACTTCTGTTACATCATTATCATCGCATTTAAGCTAAACTTCTGTTAAATCAGTATCATCACATTAAAGCTAAACTTCTGTTACATCATTATCATCGCATTAAAGCTAAACTTCTGTTACATCATTATCATCACATTAAAGCAAAACGTCTGTTACATCAGTATCCTCAATTAAAGCAAAACTTCTGTTACATCAGTATCATCACATTAAAGCAAAACTTCTGTTACATCAGTATCATCACATTAAAGCAAAACTTCTGTTACATCATTATCATCGCATTAAAGCTAAACTTCTGTTACATCATTATCATCGCATTAAAGCAAAACTTCTGTTACATCATTATCATCGCATTAAAGCTAAACTTCTGTTACATCATTATCATCACATTAAAGCAAAACTTCTGTTACATCATTATCATCGCATTAAAGCTAAACTTCTGTTACATCATTATCATCGCATTAAAGCAAAACTTCTGTTACATCATTATCATCGCATTAAAGCTTAACTTCTGTTACACCATTATCATCACATTAAAGCTAAACTTCTGTTACACCATTATCATCACATTAAAGCTAAACTTCTGTTACATCATTATCATCACATTAAAGCAAAACTTCTGTTACATCATTATCATCACATTAAAGCAAAACTTCTGTTACATCATTATCCTCAATTAAAGCAAAACTTCTGTTACATCATTATCATCAATTAAAGCAAAACTTCTGTTACACCATTATCATCACATTAAAGCAAAACTTCTGTTACATCATTATCATCAATTAAAGCAAAACTTCTGTTACATCATTATCATCAATAAAGCAAAACTTCTGTTACATCAGTATCATCAATTAAAGCAAAACTTCTGTTACATCACATTATCGACAATTGATTTTTTTTTTTAAAAAAACATCTTCTAAAGCACACGGTACATTTTGACAAACTTTCAGAGGAGTCAGAGGAATAATCCTTGTGTGTCCCTCTGCAAAGTTTATTTTATTTCAATAGTTTCAGTCTTATTGACGAATAGCTCATATGCGCTAATAATATAATATAATCGCACAGTATGTCCGTCTGTCTCTGCGTCCCCACTTAATTCGTGTCCGGACTCTAACTTTGTCATGCATGGGGGATTTTGAAATAACTTGGCACAAATGTCCACCACATCAAGACGATGTGTCGCGTCCAAGAATGACATCCCTACCTCGTCCGTCTGTCCGTCCGTCTGTACGTCCTCACTTAATTCGTGTCCGGACTGTAACTTTGTCATACATGGAGGGATTTTGAAATAACTTGGCACAAATGTCTACCACATCAAGACAATGTGTCGCTTCCAAGAGTTACGTCGCTACCTCGTCCGTCTGTCCGTCCGTGTATACCCACTTAATTCGTGCCCGGACTGTAACTTTGTCATACATGGAGGGATTTTGAAATAACTTGGCACAAATGTCTACCACATCAAGACGATGTGTCTTATCCAAGAATTATGCCCCTACCTCAAAGGTCAAGGTCACACTATCATTTTGAAGTTTCACATTATCACAATTACAGTAAATAGGAGCACACAATCCTGTCCGGACTGTAACTGTGTCATGCATTGAATGATTTAAAATAACTTGGCATAAATGTGCATAATATAATCACACCCTCTGTTTGTCCGTCTGTCAGTCCCCACTTAATTCGTGTCCGGACTGTAACTTTGTCATACATGGAGGGATTTTGAAATAACTTGGCACAAATGTCTACGACATCAAGACGATGTGTTGGGTCCAAGAATTACGTCTTTACCTCACATTATTGCAATTAGAGTAACTTAATTCGTGTCCGGACTGTAACTTTGTCATACATGGAGGAATTTAAATAACTTTGCACAAATGGACGATGTGTCGCGTCCAAGAATTACATCCCTACCTCGTTCGTCTGTCCGTCCGTCTGTGCATCCCCACCTAATTCGTGTCCGGACTGTAACTTTGTCATACATTGAATGATTTTAAAATAACTAGGCACATCAAGTCCAAGAATTATGTCTCTACCTCAAAGGTCAAGGTCACACTATAATTTTGAAGTTTAACTTTATCACAATTAGAGTTTATAGGTACACACTTCGTGTCCCGGCTGTAACTTTGTCATGCATGGTAGGATTTTAGAATAACTAGGCATAAATGTCTACCACATCAAGACGATGTGTCGCGACTAAGACCCATGTCCCTACCTTCAAGGTCAAGGTCACATTTATAGTTTGAAGTTACTCATTCTCTGGAGAAGAGTTTGAAGATACACATTCATATCCGGACTGTTACTTTGTCATACATGGAAGATTTTAAAATAACTTGGCACAAATGTCTACCACATCAAGACAATGTGTCGCGGCTAAGGCTCATGTTCGTGTGTCCGTGTGTCCCCACTTACACAACAATCATGTACAGACTGTAACTTTGTCATGCATTGAGGGATTTTGAAATAATTTGGCCCAATGTCTATCTCATAACATTTTGTCGCGTCCAGGAACCACGTCCCTTCTTCAAAGGTCAAGGTCACGCTTATATTTTGAAGGTTCATGCTATCAAGAACAATATTCAACAATTAGTTACTTTCATTCTCTTTTCTTTTCATAATACCTGTATGCTTAAGAAACCTTTTCGGGGGCATTCGTCACTTGGGTGACAGCTCTTATTGAATATAAAACATAATATGCATACTAGTACTTTAGATGTAACAAAATAAAATATTCTTTCGTCTGATATTGTCAGCCGACTTAGAACATTTCGCCTACTTCGATCCTTATTTTTAGTTTACAATTAACATGAACTACAAGATATTATCTTAAAATATCACTTAAATTCATTCTTATTGATTTAATTCTCGTGACCCTAAAGTGCGATCGTTTGTCTGATGTTAAAAAATGCATATATGTACCTGTGTACCGCAGGTTGGACCCCAAAGTACGCAACACATTTTGTACGTTTGACCACAAACTGCTGTGTTACAGTGCTCTTAGTTTGAAAAGTCTTAATGTTTTAAACTGCTGTGTTCAGAATTTGGATATTTTACTTAGAATATTGCCTATATAATCTCTACACATTTTATACTTATCTCTAGGAAATATACTTTTAAAGAAACCAAACTTCTAAAATCGTCTCATCGGAAACCTTAATGTTACTTGTACAGAGTCTGATATTTGGTAAAAGGAAACACCATATGGCACTATTCAAAAGTAATATAAATCATGCCCCTCGGGGTCAAAATTTCCCTGCTACGGAAGAAATAAAAAGAATTACATGTACGTAATAATTTGACTGCAGTCTTGTATATAGTTTAAATAAATGTGACTGTTATCTAATGAAAAGCGACGTTACAAACGTGCACTGTTATAAAAGAAAACATACTTAAAGTAACATTATTCCCATCCAAGGGTATATAGTGAGTGAACGGGTGAAGATCATAATAAGTTTTCATTTTGCCATAATTCCTTTTAATTTAATAATAAAGTTCGCATAAACAATAAATAATGCACAGATCCAAACGAAACTTCTGTAAATATCCATTAGAATTTACCTATGACGCTTAGTTTATAAAAAGAGTGGGGCAGTCTTTTTATATTTTAGGCATATTTATATTTTTATCATCAACATTTTCCAATATCAACTGTTGGTCAAACACCATTTTGACAGTCAATCTTTTGAAATATAAAGTCAATTCAGCTGAACTTGACTATGAAAATATGAACATAATGTCATTCTATGTCTTCTTATGTTAAACTACAATGCTAGAGCCCAGTAAATAACTACAAAGGTAATATAAATATATAAACTAAAATCGGGGAAATATTTGCAAGGTAAAACGAACATGTGGTTTTATATCAATTACATCATGATAAACACAGGAATTTGTACATTTGTATCAGACTTTATTTCTGGTTTAAAAAGCATGTCATGTACATATAATGTTCAAAGAAAATGTAGTAAATAAAACATGTTTTCTAATTGTTTATTTTTATTCATTAGTTAGTTCAGAGATTATAAGATAATGATTTGACCATGATAACATTTGTCATGATATTCAAACAAAGATCGTATAGGATAACAGCGGGTATGTCTCTAAATCACAATTTAACATTGTATAGATGAACAGAGATAATATGTCGTATCACAATTTTGTAGAATTTTAATATTTGGAGTGCTTCTTATTTTGTGCCAGGTGCCTTTGTTGTCAGTACATCACATTCCCCGGTGTGTGCTAGCTCAACGCTGTTTAAACAAAGAAGTAAATATATATAAACAAACTTTGCTATACGATTCACCTCCTCATGGCCTAATAACGCTTAATTTATTTCAATGATGGTTAAACTATGCAGATAAAGTTACGTTACAACTTGAAATACGCGTTCTTTACCGAATATTAAGTAATATATGACACAGTTTGAAATAACACGCTTCACACTCTTCCCTTATCAAACAGGGCGATCAAACGCATTATTACACGATATATGCACAGTATAAAAAAAACCGAATAATTACACTTAATAAACAAATAATGTCAGGAAAATTACTTTTACGCTAAATGTGGTTCAAAATATTTTTATCAATTCTTTCAATTAATCATTTCTTGTGATTATATTCCATGCATTTTAACTCGAATCGTTCATTATTCTACAACAATGCACTCAAAATTGTTATCTATTTTCTAAGTATATAATATTATGACAGAGTCTGAAATACGCGTTCTTGACTGAATTCAAAGTAAAGCGGCTCAATGAAATGATCATCTAATCACATGAGTAAAATAAATGAGTTCTCACCACGTATGACACATGTTGAAATACAGCTCGAAATACACGTCCTTTATGTTCCTTACACGAAATATAAGTTGATGATTATGGAGAACGCGTACTTCAAGCTGTGTCATTAAACTTTATCCCAAAATAAACTATTTTATATCTCACTTAATTGGACGTTTCAAGTTAATTGTTTTACTTGAAAAAACAATTAATTCTATAAATTTCAAAGGTGAACATATCAACGTGATGGAAAAATATTTAAAAAGCACAACTAACGAGACTCAATGAAATGAGCATCTGACACTTGACATAAAAACAACAAGATTATATCTTGGGTTAAACATTGCATTGTGGTTTATAATTATATTCCTTAGTTAGAATTGATGTATACATTTCATTCCGATCCCCTTTTTATTTCTATTTTAAATTAAGATTCATAAGCCAAACACAAATCTTTTATAATGGAACATTTCAAAATTTTGGAAAACTTACTTTGCGCATTTTCTATTGCAGTCGTTGCCGTAGGTGATACCATCAACACCACACACTGGTAGATAGATGAAAGTACAAATACATGGGATGTCCTCATCTTTAGGCTCAATCTGCTCGCTTACTGTGTCCTCCTGGAGTGCACCAGTACATGCACCTTCTTGGAACAAGTCTACCCCACTTATGAAACAAAAACAGTTGTAAAATAATAAGTAAATTGTGTCTTGTTTTTATATTTTTGTAAATGCAACAAACATCTCGACATCACCGTGTATATCTAGTAACACGGGGATATCAAAATAACGCAGGAATTGTACAAAAATTTCGACAGATTTGTGTAGTTCAACGGTTCAAACGGTAACACGACCGACATTTCATATAAGAAATCAAATAGCTTTGTTGGCAACTAGTTTAACTATAGCAAGTAAGTTTTTGTATGAAAGTCAAAATACTACTTCATAAGTCAGTTTTAAGCTGTTTATGCATTGCTTCAATAGGGCATTGTTTAGTTTTGACTTATATAACGGGTCAGTTCAACAATATTTACTCTTTCTCAGAAGGAAAAAGTCAAAGTCCTCGAATACTAAAGTAGGATGGTTTACCACTGAACGGTTCATGCATGCATACATTGCTGATATTATCACAGAGAGTTATTGTGTTTTCATTTTAAATGTCCAAAACTAACAGAGTTTGAACTCGTACTGTAAAAGTTTGTTATTCCTTTATATGTGACATATTAGCCAAATGACACAAAAATAGATGTATATTTTACTTACGCACAATCTAACAGACAGTGATTATTATACGTGTTACCATCAACGCCACACACAGGTACTAATTGTTTCGTGCAAAGACACGGCACTTCAGCTGCTTTTAAAGTTGGTATGGCAACTAGATAAATATACAAAATATGTGATACGTTATGCATGTAAACATAAACAAATAGATAAGTCATTAGAAAAAATATAAAGGGTTCTTTCTCCATCACATTAACGACTACCATGCAGCGATGTTGGACGACTACCAGCGATGTTGAACAACTTCTAGCGATGTTAGACAACTACCAGCGATGTTTGGCGACTACCAGCTATGTTGGACGACCGATGTTAGACGACTACCAGCGATGTTTGGCGACTACCAGCTATGTTGGACGACTACCAGCTATGTTGGACGCTTACCAGCGATGTTGGAAGACTACCAGCGATGTTGCACGACTACCAGCGTTGTTAGACGACTACCAACGATGTTGGACGACTACCAGCGATGTTGGACGACTACCAACGATGTTGGACGACTACCAGCTATGTTGGACGACTACCAGCGATGTTGGACGACTACCAGCGATGTTGGATGACTACCAGCGATGTTGGACGACTACCAGTGATGTTTGACGACTACCAGCGATGTTGGACGACTACCAGCGATAACAGTGTGATTAGCGTATATATCTTATCACTGCTACATTTGCAGCGTAAGAAGTTCAAGTGGTCAATGTGGGATATATAACGTTTCGAAATTTCTAGATATTGTGCAAAATGGTTCATTTGGACCCATTTTAGAAAGTATTCACAGTAATAAGTTCCAAATTTAAGAAAAAAAATCGAACCGTGTTAAACAAGTGCAATCACGTATTTATAAACATTTATTTTTATGGTCATATCAAAAACTCATGATAAAAAAATAAAAATTAAACAAAAACATGTCACTTAAACTACAAACCGTTAGCAAATAAAAGAAATGCAAACATCAACCAAAATATTTATCAAAAGCTACAATTTTTCAATATATTTAGCATTAAAAAAAGTTACTATATTTTGATCATATATGGTTAATTGATATATATGAAAAGAATGTTGTTTTTTTTATTTTAATTTTATTTTTTTTTTTTATTTTATTATTATTTTTTTAGTTTCATGTAAAAATACAAAAAGGAAAAAATTACAGTAATGCAATAAGCTAACCTGTGATTCCAGCAAAACAAATGACTGCAAGACAAAATTTAGTCACCATCTTAGATCCGTAGCTTATAACTAAGTTTTTAAATGTTTAATTCGGATTAAACAGTTTATGCTCTTGTCTGAAATTTACATTTTATATGTTTTGATATTTACATGAACTCAATACGTCAGCAACTGAGTAATTGTTCATCTTCTGTTAAAGCAGCTCAGTAATAAATTGATCAAAAACTGCAAATGTTTACAAAATGGCAAATAAAATGTAGTTTTTGTGTGTAAATACGTGTTATTATTTATATGCGCAATCTTATGCATATTTCTTGCTATACTTTCTATCAGATCTCCACGGCATCACGGGCACTTGTGTTGTCAGAATGGCTATTAAATAATTTCTATAATGAAAAAATTACACCTACTATAACGATCTTTAGTCCTAAAATACCCTATATGTATAATGATACGTGTAAACGAAGTCACAGTGATATTTATTACGTGTAACTTAAGAATTAAAATAAAGTATCAATACATGAGGTGTGTCGCTTTAAAATTGGCGGCGCTGATACTGCCTGGTACCGTTCGGTTGTTGAGAAATTTGAGGTTTAAACTCTTTTAGTCTGACAGGATTGGACTTTGAACGACCAATAGATTTATAAATGTTTGTGGCAAACTAGTAAGACTTCAAAGAAAAAATAATAAAAATCATACTCATTGAAGTACTTTGTACTGATAAAGCTAAAAATGACCTGTTTTATTACAGCCACATGTTGATAAATACTCAAAAATATTGTGAAAAGTACATAATCATATATCTTAAAACGTTATCTATGACGTACTACAGTTCAAACCTTATTATGTCTGATAAATTTACAATGAAAACAAACTAATAAATTTACTTTGAAAAGAAGACGAAATACCTTTTTCGATTTTCCAATATTCTTTAAATTCAAACTTTTATCATCTAATTACAGAACAGGACAGACTTTCTTATTCTTAGCCAAATATTTTATTGCAACTTTTTTAATACATAAATACATGTAAGGTTACATGAATTATATAAAATCAAGAATTCATAAAGATGTAGTGCACATGTTAATACAACAGTAGCAACAATCCTCCCCATAAAGTCGAACTTATATATCATATTTATTCCGGTTCTTAACTACAATTGACCAACAATAACTGAAAATGATAAAAGGGAATAAAATGATTAAAAAAAATATATATAATAATGATGATAATGATAATTAATAAATGAAAAATACCGAAATTATATATACTGTATTGCACAGAGCAATGTTTAATGGTCCATCTTTTCTAACTTGAAGGTATAGATGACAATTTTCAAATGTACCATTTGTAGTAACAAAGAAGAAAAAAAAATCGCATACATTTAAAGTTCAAAATGAAAATAATTATGGAAACACGGGCACTAGACTTATATATCTAATCACATATGATGTAGGTGTTGATAATGAATGTACATGTATATACTTTAATTTGATGTAAATCCTTGAAGAGATAAGAAAGTTAAAGATCCTGTAATACAATTTTTCTATGGTTTTATATCATAAATATGATGCTCAAATTAAGATTTATCAATTTTCTAGGTTCCAAAAAGCATTATAAATAAAGACATTACCTAATATAACATTTTGTGTAAATAAAGGGAGGTAATAAAAACTTATTTTCTATAAAGACTAAGTCAAATTTTTCATACAAATATTTTATATTTTTTAATGATTACATATAATGTGTACAAATATGTGCAGTACATATTTTACATATTCTTCGATGTTTGAAAATTTTTTTATTAGCATAATTATACACATATTTTTTTAATGTGGTATACAACCTTAATTACAACATACAGAATCTTTAAAGAGTTAATAAGAATTCTGTGGAAGAGATTATTCTGGGAATATGAACGCTAGATTTACCATTGTCATATTATTATTGGTACGCGTTTAATTTTTGAGGCATGGAGGAGCACGTGACCTGTTTTCGGTACATGGAGGAGCATGTGATCTGTTAACCGTACACGATTGGTTAATTGACCTATTCGAAAACCTAGCTAAATACCGTTTCCCGGTACGTTACGGATTTACCCGTAGATAATCATTGTATACACACCGGTCTCTCGACACAATGCTATGGAATTAGTCCGAATTACACCTAATTAAGAGCGTAACACTATTACGTAGTATGTCTAATTTTCTATTATTATTTTACCGTTTAGGTTGGAAAAACTTGCATGATGTGTTTGAAAATTATCAATGTTTCTTTAATATCTATCTGAAATTTTACAAACAATAAATTGTTTATAGTGAAAATCCACAGAATTAAAACATTCGTTTGTGGCATCTGCCATAATAGATAGAGATATTTTCTGCGTAAACTTGTGTGTTTACTTTATTTTATTTTTTTTGCACGGAATTATTCATACAATGGTATTTAATCATTTTCTTAAACAGAAATATTGTTTTATTTTCGACAAAGACCAAAGATCTTCTTCTATTGATCGATTATTGTCAACTATATTCCTGATACAAACGTTGATTTTTTTCTATTTTTTCCCCAAACAATGTTGAAAATAGTTAAATGAAATATCTTTAAATCATTATAAATGTTCCCCGCAGGAAACCATTTAACTTGTTATTATGTTGGAGTTTGATGTAAATCCTATATGACATGCTTTTTAACACCGCACTTTGGGGTCAAACGCACTTTAGGGTCGGAAAAATACCGAAATTATATATACTGTATTGCACAGAGCAATGTTTAATGGTCCATCTTTTCTAACTTGAAGGTATAGATGACAATTTTCAAATGTACCATTTGTAGTAACAAAGAAGAAAAAAAATTCGCATACATTTAAAGTTCAAAATGAAAATAATCATGGAAACACGGGCACTAGACTTATATATCTAATCATATATGATGTAGATGTTGATAATGAATGTACATGTATATACTTTAATTTGATGTAAATCCTTGAAGAAATAAGAAAGTTAAAGATCCTGTAATACAATTTTTCTATGGTTTTACATCATAAATATGATGCTAAAATTAAGATTTATCAATTTTCTAGGTTCCAAAAAGCATTATTAATAAAGACATTACCTAATTTAACATTTCGTGTAAATAAAGGGAGGTAATAAAACTTATTTTCTATAAAGACTAAGTCAAATTTTTCATACAAATATTTTATATTTTTAATGATTACATATACATGTAATGTGTACAAATATTTGCAGTACATACTTTACATATTCTTCGATGTTTTAAAATTGTTTTATAAGCATAATTATACACATATTTTTTTAATGTGGTATACAACCTTAATTACAACATACAGAATCTTTAAAGAGTTAATAAGAATTCTGTGGAAGAGATTATTCTGGGAATATGAACGCTAGATTTACCATTGTCATATTATTATTGGTACGCGTTTAATTTTTGAGGCATGGAGGAGCACGTGACCTGTTTTCGGTACATGGAGGAGCATGTGATCTGTTAACCGTACACGATTGGTTAATTGACCTATTCGAAAACCTAGCTAAATACCGTTTCCCGGTACGTTACGGATTTACCCGTAGATAATCATTGTATACACACCGGTCTCTCGACACAATGCTATGGAATTAGTCCGAATTACACCTAATTAAGAGCGTAACACTATTACGTAGTATGTCTAATTTTCTATATTATTATTTACCGTTTAGGTTGGAAAAACTTGCATGATGTGTTTGAAAATTATCAATGTTTCTTTAATATCTATCTGAAATTTTACAAACAATAAATTGTTTATAGTGAAAATCCACAGAATTAAAACATTCGTTTGTGGCATCTGCCATAATAGATAGAGATATTTTCTGCGTAAACTTGTGTGTTTACTTTATTTTATTTTTTTTGCACGGAATTATTCATACAATGGTATTTAATCATTTTCTTAAACAGAAATATTGTTTTATTTTCGACAAAGACCAAAGATCTTCTTCTATTGATCGATTATTGTCAACTATATTCCTGATACAAACGTTGATTTTTTTCTATTTTTTCCCCAAACAATGTTGAAAATAGTTAAATGAAATATCTTTAAATCATTATAAATGTTCCCCGCAGGAAACCATTTAACTTGTTATTATGTTGGAGTTTGATGTAAATCCTATATGACATGCTTTTTAACACCGCACTTTGGGGTCAAACGCACTTTAGGGTCGGACCCCGAAGTGCGTTACGTACTTTGGGGTCGGACCACAGAGTACGTTACGCACTTTGGGGTCCAATTTCGACCCTAAAGTGCGTTAAACAGGTACATATGCATTTTTAACATCAGACAAACGACCGCACTTTGGGGTCATAAAAAATTAATTTTAATTATGTTTTAAATAATATATTGTAGTCAAATCCAATGGTAAACAGAATTCAAGGTATTAAAAAGACGTTAAACATGTGCCCTGAATTATAGTAGAATCAATAGGGATTTAAATGGTCTTGATCAGTAAGTGAAGAATTTTCATCAAATGAAGAATTTGTATCAATTATTAAGCTCAAAATATATTTTCTCAAATTTTCCATTTATTTTAAAAGAATGTACACCTTTCATTAACTCCAATTTTTTAGCTTATTGCATTTATTTACACATTTTATAGAAATATGATAGATTTAGCATAGTCAAATGTATAAATTCTGGGAAATCTCAGTAAGACATTTCAGAAAAAAGAGTTCTTGATAACATGTGGAAAGAGCCATTTATTTAGCTAAATGTGACATACAAGAAACTTGACTAGGTGTAGAAGTCTTTAAGTAGAAGTCCGTACAGGCAGTACTAAAAAAATCATAAACTATTTAAGTAGTCGCACCTTCAGAATAATGTAAAATTCTCACTGGGGCTATAGAGGGGATTGTGGTGAATCGATCACACCAGGGTTAAAAATAACTTAAAGGCTCATTAATTATGCTTTTATTTGTTTTTCTTAAAAGCATTTTTATTTTGATGTTCTTCTGTAACATCAAAAAAATACACATTGGCCAATTACCTGAACCATCTTTTTCATCTGTTGATTTTTGGCAGGGATGAGTACAGTTATAGTGAATTAGTATTTTATATGGCAGTCAAATACTACATTGTTTTGACTACGTTTATGACAAATAATTTCACATTT